GCCGCCGCCTCGCGCTGCGCCGTGGCCTCCGGCCTCAACCCCGGCATCCTGCAGGCGCTGGACAAGTACCGGGCGCGCGGGCCTCCCCCGCGAGAGGCCGGGCCTCCCGCCGGGCGGGCCAAGCGCTTCGTGTCCGTGCCGCGCTACGTGGAGACCCTGGTGGTGGCCGACGAGTCCATGGTGAAGTTCCACGGCGACGACCTGCAGCACTACCTGCTCACGCTCATGGCCACGGCGGCGCGCCTCTACAAGCACCCGAGCATCCGCAACCCCATCGACATCGTCGTCGTCAAGTTCCTCGTCATCGGGCAGGACGACAAGGGGCCCAAGGTGACGGGCAACGCGGCGCTCACGCTGCGCAACTTCTGCGCCTGGCAGAAGAAGTGGAACAAGGGCAGCGACAAGCACCCCGAGTACTGGGACACGGCCATCCTCTTCACCAAGCAGGTGGGTGCCCCACGGGTGCCCCACGGGTTGGGGGGTGACCCCAAGGCTCCTGGTGCTGCTGGTGCGAGCGCTCGTGGAGCTGTCGCCCATTTCCACGTGTTTCCAGGAGAACCTGCGCTTCCCTGTTCCCTGATTCCTGCTAGGAATGCCCTTGCAGCCCGCGCGTTCAGCCCCTGGTCCCTGGGCTTTCCAGCTGCTTTTGCCTTATTTTTTGCTGGTGTTTAGTGCTTTTGCAAGGGCTCCGGGGCCGTCCCCAGGTTATGTCCGCGTTGCTACAGCAGGACAAGGGTAATTGGGCACCACCAAAGCAGAGCAGCTTGGAGAGGTTTCCACCATTCCCCTCAATCTCCACTCAGCCCCTTTCCCTCTTTGGATCAGGAGGGTTTTCCCTGGGAAGCAGAAGTGACACCCAGGTGGGGCTGAGCGGGGATGTGACATCCCCTAAGCGCTGACGGGAGGGAAGAAGGAGGAGCCGGTTTGAAGGGGCCAGGTCACATTTTATTCTGGAAACCCGTGATGGGAGCGGAGGAGAAAGTTCACGAGGCTCTGCCAGCAGTGACGCCTCCCATCCTCTCTTCCATGTCCTTGCTCGGTGGCCTAGGGACAGGTCGGGAACTCCCCTTTTGACAGCAGCGAGGCCACTCCCAAAGCTTCTTCCCAAGCCAAGTGCTCCCGCTGCATCCCGGCCTGCTGGAGCAGCTCCTGTCCGCGCCGGCTGCTCGCAGGGAAGAGGGAGCCCCGTGACACCGGCGCTGGGACGAGCCGGCTCCGCTGCTGGTGGGAACGTCGCCGGAGCGACGCGTGGGACCGACGCGGTCCCAGGGACGCGGGCAGCGCAGATCCCGGCCGGGCTGCATTTTTTACCCATTGCTAAACCGTCCATTCCTGAAATCCCCAGGCAAGCTCCGCTCGAGGAGCCATCTGCCTTCCTCGACCGCCTCCGTCCGCGGCCTCGCGGCATCCCAGCGCTCAGCCCGCTGGGAACGTCGCCGGAGCGACGCGTGGGACCGACGCGGTCCCAGGGACGCGGGCAGCGCAGATCCCGGCCGGGCTGCATTTTTTACCCATTGCTAAACCGTCCATTCCTGAAATCCCCAGGCAAGCTCCGCTCGAGGAGCCATCTGCCTTCCTCGACCGCCTCCGTCCGCGGCCTCGCGGCATCCCAGCGCTCAGCCCGCTGCCAGAGCGCTCTTGCATAAGCCCCCGACCGTAACGGCGCTTCGAGCCCAGTTGATAGGCAGTTTCCAGCCGTGTCAGCAGCTCGCTGATGGATGGCGCCGTCCTCGCGCCCCGGCGCGGGGGGCTCCGGCTCCCCCCGATGG